CTTGACCGTTTGGGTATTGTCATATTTTTACCACAAACCCCTACTGTTTCTTAGCAACTACTATCATCCACTCATCTGCCTGTTTTTCTCCCACCAGGTGCCTGTAGCTTCATGGTTCGATGACATGTCTGATACGGAACTGCTAGATCTTATACCATTTTTAGAAAGTTTAGCGAAAGTTGACGACGTGCATACAGTACTTCACAACCAGCAGAACATGAATGGCCCGTTATGTATATCATCCAATAATACAACACAACTTAATTCTGTAAACTCATAGCCTACCACTTCCTGTCTGTATTATCACTGTAGCTAACTGTACTCCGAAATAGTATGAAAATGTACATGTACATGTACATGTACTGCTTTTGGGACTCGTGCTTTCCAACCATCAAGATCCTTCAGAAAATTTGAACTTTGACCTCATAATGCGAACTATCAGGTTCAAATTACAAGGCATATTCAAATCAGTTTATTTTGTGCTGTGGATTGTGTTCAGTCACATTAAATGCAAAAGTTAATTTAATATTTTGTTTAAGGGGATGATTATGGCTGTGCATTTGCTATCATCTATAATTGGACATGTATATTACTGTAAAATCTGTATTAGAAACCGCGGCTTCTATTAAAATGGTACAATCCAATAGAGGGGGTGCGGCTTCTATTAGAGCATCTACACATATGAGAAATGATGATTTTTTGGTTCCCAATTGTTAAAAAAGAATGGGTGCGACTTCTATTAGGGATGCGGCTTCTAATACAGATTTTACGGTATGCGTAAAAATATCCTGTTCGTTCGATTGGAACACACACTGAGCATGAGCTCCGCCCTTTAAAAAAAAAGATGTGATGTTCCTCTTGATCGGTCATGGTAGTGTTATGCCGAGTCAACTCTCTCATGTATGACAACTGTTACCATGGTAATCTGATCACTAGTCACTTGGCACTGAATCTGTAATAAATAAGATGTGCTAGTAAAATGTATGTTATTAATTACTTGTCACTCACCTGCAATACTTGTACATTTACATTTTCATACTGTTTCATTGTATGTGTCATGGCCACAGGAAATTTGTTGAGAAATTTTGTTTTTGCATTTTTAAATGAACTCTGATGTCCCTTGATTTTAAATAATCATTTACAAAACTCTCTGTACGTGTCTCCATAATGCATTGTGCTGGTGACAAGTTCTTGCAACCTCGTCATCGCAAATTATTTGTGCTCATCTGTCTCTGTTCTCTCTTCTTCTTTTTTCTAACAGTAAACTGCTTTTATTCAGAAATTTTGAATCAGTGATTTTGACAAGCGTCTTTAAATTCAATTGCAAAAACACGAGTGGTGAAATTTGACATTGTTCAGTACTTATTTTTTTGTTGCGATTTGGTAAACAGAATATCATGAATTCACTCCACAAGTATACACACATACAATGTGATTGTCTCTTTTACATGAAAGATAGAAATATCCAAAAATACCTTGTTGCCAGGACAACCTCTCAGAAAAAAATGGTTATTCGCATGAAAACACATTTGTCCAATAACATTCTGTGTCAAATACTTTGGGTGCTAAAGTTCATTTTTTCACCACAAAGTAAATTTGAAAAATATTTGGCAGCTACAACGATAGTTAAGTACACGATCTTGCTTTTCAAACCACTGCTGACAGACGCATCCATTTTGCATAGCCATTTTCCTTATTTGGTTTTGCCTGTGGCCAAAGTAACAATTTCCTCCCATGATAATTGTCCTTATGCAAGGCACAAACAGTGATACAACAATCTGTTGAATCATATTGCGCACAAATGAACTTATCCAGCGTCGAATAATTTCATTATCTTATCTATGCCATTAGTAAGGACCAAAAACTGTCTATTTCTTATGGCCAAGTAGTGTTTTCATGTGCAATGCTTAGACAAAATAATTATTAAGTTTTGTATATCTGTTTTTAATTCTGATGTAGTTTTTGTGTGTTATCGTGTATTAACCAGTGGTCTGCTACAGTGATAATGTCATTTGCTTTCAAATTTGACAGATCTGGTTGTACTGCTGTTGCCATGGTGACTTATGTTAATTGCAAGCATTTATCATTATGCAGATATCTAGAAACTGAAATACTAACGCATCCCTCCCCCACTTGAATTATTAGGCTTTGTTACCATGGCAACTGTCAATAGTCCAAATAGACTGTCAAAAAAAGCTAGGAATACAAAATAACAAAAAAAAATATTTTTTCTACCAATTTTCTATGATCCTTGTAATTTTTGAGGTTTTATCTGAGTCGTAATATTTAGCAAGAAACAGAATTTTACTACAAATTTAAAAACAAATTAAAAGTCTAGTAGTGTGAATATCTATTCTCTACTATTTGTTTACTGTACAGTTGGGATACTGGAATTTTGTTTGTTACTTATGAATATTTTAATCGTATACACAACATCAATTATTGTTTAAGCTGATATGTACCTGCAATTATACCCATTCACCCCTCTCTCTCTCAATATGGAATAGTCCAATGAGGGTGGGGAGTAATTTGCTGATATTAAAAGGGGTGAAAGGTTTAGGGGTGGGGAGCACTGTTGGGAAATTTTGCCATCAGTGCCTTTTTTCTGATTTGTATGAAAAAAACAATATTTTGTTTTCATTGTGTGTGTATATTGCATCCCCTACATAGTATGAGAATTAATTTTTTTTTTTTTTTTTTTTAAATAACCAAGTTTGATAGTATTTTACCCAATGTATGTATGTACAATGTATTTAGCTAATTTCACTGCATTTTTTGTGTGTTTTCCACATCTGTCTCTGAGGAGTTGAAAAATATATTTCTGTGTTGGTGTGGAATTCGTTGCTAAAATGCAAAGTGACTTACAATGGTCACAATTTTTTTTTTTTTTTACATTTTTTGTGAAGTTCTAACTGCTAGATATGAAATCTACTAAGATCTGAAAAAAAATATTTGAGGGTCGTATATTTACTAAACTAATGAGGATTTTCAAGGAAACGTAAATTCACTGGTAATCTTTTTTTTTGCTTTTGTTTTTAACTTGAAGACAAATCAATTTGTAGCTTTCTTTGATTTTTATTATTTTTGTTAACTCTACTAAAGCGACATAGTCGTCACAACCTGTCCAATGCAACGGGTAAATTTGCTGACTGACGCTTTATGCAAATATAAAGACAGTTCTGTAACGGTTTATGTCAACACCGTAAATATTAATTCTTGTGTAACCATGCATGTGTGAGGATGAAGGAAGATTCAAAGCGCCATAGTCGACATTGTTCAATGCCATGTGGGATTTTGCCGACTGTGACAGTTTTGTAATGGTTTATGTTGACACCAATGATCAATGTTACTGGTGACAATTGTCTAATATATATCTGTAGTGACATTCGAATTGTGGAGTGAAGCAGGGAGAACATACCGGTAGATTAATAATAAGAATCTTTTTACAGATTTGGACTTGGGAGAATAATCTGTGCATTTGGTGTGATGAGATTAAGAAAATCCATTAAGAAAAAAGTTTTGACAGCTTCTTGAATCAGAAACAGATGTGGATATAAAATTTTGAGTTTTGGACAGCATTCTGGAAATAAAATGTTTGGTGGTGTTTTTGAGATTTTCGGAAATTAATATTCTTGTTGTGAAATGTTTACAGTATTATTCTCTAAAAAGCAAGCTTTCAGAAAAAGAGTTAGTTTACTATATTTACCGGTACATAAATTATTACATGTGAATTTGAGCAAATTTGACGAGCTGGTCAAAAGCAGATCCAGGTGCTTTTGTGGGAATTAAAAAAACAACATTGTTTAGTCATTTTTACCCTGCCTCCATAACTCAACTACTATGGAATATAGTGTGTTCCAACTTCTTTTAACCAAACACTGCATCGGTACTAGTACTATTAATATTTGACGAAGTATCATTTTATGTTTGGGAAAAATTAACAAAATATTACTATGTGAACTTCTATTTCGCAAAATGTAGATATACTGTAAAATACTTTATTTTCACTTAGAATTTACTTTCGCTGAAGGGATGATTCAATGAAAATAAAGTCCAGCGAATATACATTTTTTTCCTATATCTTACATTCAACTCTCAAAATCAGTGAAAATAAATTCCATACAAAACACCCAAAAAGTCTATTCAGCGAAAATTTATTCCAGCTAAAATAAAGTATTTTACAGTATATACTGGGTAAATACGGCATATGAATCGCCCAATTGTCCAAGCTAGAGTCCCCTCGTTTTATGTCAATTTCATTTCTGACATGTATATGTAATATTTACCAGCTATTCTGTAAAAAAAAAATCTCCCCATGGCTAAAATGTATTTTCAGCATAATACTTTGAACAGAAGTAATCAGATGACTTCTAGATTTGTAACTAGCGTCCCTCCTGTGACAGTGGAAGTGAGGATTTTGTGTGTAGCGCCCTCACACATCTAAACAAAATATACCTCTTATTTTGTTTTACTGCTCGACTCTTATTTCTGTTCTGTCTTTCCTGTGTTCATTTCGAATATTGGGCGAGAAGTATGTATTTAACTTTGATCTAAAGCCAATTCCCCTATCTTCTGTGAGGATGAATGTTGGTGATTAAAAACAAAGTGCTCAATGATGTCTGCTATGTTGAATTTAGTCAAGTTTGACCTCTGATTTTATAGTTGGGTGATATCACCACAAAGCAGAAATAATCCACTACTGCTGGTTGTATTGCCAACTTGTTACTGGACAGTTCTTACTCTTGTTGCTCTAAGCAGTCATTGTCACAGGGGGCGTTCATTTGATAGTGCCTGAATGCAAATTTTGTAGGTACTTGATCTTGGCATGTCAAGGTCAGGTTAGGAATGGAATGGGAAAGTTTGCTATGTGAATGATTCAAGTTATTATTTCAGGTTTTGATGCTCAAAACTTGAGCAGATAAATAAATACGTGTCAAAATCTTGATTAAAATGATACCTCTGGAATGATGGCAATGCCAAAGTTTTCTTAAGGTGGAAGTCTACTCATAAATTAAAATACCTAGATTTATTCATTTTGCAATAAACTGTACTCCAAGGCAATACAAGGATATTGACTTTAAAAAGGTTGGGGGTCACCAGCCTTTTTTTTTTCAAGAAATTGATGGTTGTATTTTAGTGGAAAGTCACCATTTTGGCATGTGTATAATGCTTTCACCATTGGTTCCTATGGCAGAGATATTATGCCATATCTCAAATTGTAGCCTATGCTATATACGCTAATAAAATAATATATATTGTTAATGATGGAGTACTTTTTGTTTTGAATTATTTAAAAAATCCAGATTTTGAAAAGTGTAAAAAAATGCAATTTTTCTTTAACATTGTGTTCTGGGGAATTGTTCTAAAAATAGCAATTTTCAAGAAATATTAGGACACGTTTCTCAAAAAGCTTAACTGTAACACACAAAATAATGCTATTTCAATTTACCATG